TGAACTTGAATTGAAAATTTTTAAGAACAATAACTTAGAAGATTGGAAGTAACAGAATTTTATTTAAAATACCAAACAGCTATTTTTATCTACACCCTCGATAGAATGAAAACGCGTCTAATTATTGCATTTGTTATAAGAGCACAAATTTACAACAATTATAAGAAATATTGCAATATTATTAGTATCTACATACATATATTCTTATAAAGTGAATTCCTTTCGATAAATTAAGGAAGATAAGACAAAATATGTAAGTCGCAAATCTAATTAAGTCTCATTTAAATAAACTTTTCCGATATTATTACTAAAAACGAAAATTTTAATGATATTTCAATTTTAATTTTAAAGCGAATAAGTATATGCTTATATTTACAAAATATCTAAGTATATAAAAATATTATATGAATGTTAATACAAGTAAACCAATACTGCTCTTTTTAAATAATTTTTTATTTTACTATTAAATTTGTTTTTCACAAGAATAATCTTAAAATTTTGTGAAGAGCACAACTGATTCTATTTGCATAAATTAAATTTAATAATAAATTCTTATTCTTTTTTGAAAAATTTTCAGATTTATTTTCACTATTTTTACTATATTCTATTTTATTTTATTAATTTAAGTGGGATTAGTATTTTATTGATTGATTGAACAGAAAAATTTTGTGTAAATTTTTTTTAAATAAAATATCGATAAATATTTTAATAAAAAATACTTATGTACATATGTATATGAAGTTAAATTGAATTTCGAATTTACAGTTCTAGTCGTTTTTATACACACATATTAACAATAACCCAATTCAATCTATTCAGTATATTACAGGGTGTAATTCTGCAAATTTAAAGTAACTTTTAATTTGAAGTTTTCAAATTTTTTAAACATGTGATTTGAACTTTTTAAATAAATTATTAAATGAAGCAGTGATAACTGTTGATGCGGTTTCTCATAACACAATATACCAAATTCTTCATTATTTTTGGACATAGAAATTTCTACCCGGTCCTATGGCAAAAAGGCATTTATAACATAACATATTTTATTATTAAAGATCTTTAAAGCTATGAGCAATAGGGGTTGCATACCTGAGTCGTTGAGAGTGACTTAAGTGTCACACATATCGTAAGTAAGTAAGCGACATAGCACTACCCATATACCTACATACATAATATACAAAATAATTTTGAAATAGATCTCCTTAAAAAACAGTATAATAACTTGTATTCTGATGCAACGGTTATTAAATTTTGCAAAAATCTGATCAATAATTTTCTGTTTTATAGTCAACTTTCACTTTTTGATTAAATACTTGAAACTATTTAAAACTACAAATTATTGCATCAGATTTAAACCACGCTATGTAACTGTTGAGAATCAATTCTTTAATTGCGCTTTTTTTCAAATCTAAATTATGTGATATGAAATAACGGTTAAATTTATGATATTGAACAAGACTTACGATTACTATTAATTTTAAACTTTTAAGCTATAATTAAAATTTTTTTCTTGACTAAAAGCATAGCTTGAAATAAAAGTTTATTTTGAAAATCTTTTTTTCACCATCGCAGCAATAAAGCTTATCAATATCAAGGCGAGTTGAAAATTACGGCTTTAAAAGAACTTTAATAAAGTTTAACATTTTGAACAAAAGAAAATTGTGCTTTTGCAACAGTAAAAGTTTTAATATTCAAAGTTCGAAACCACTACATTAAAATAATACTTTAAAATATACTTTAAAATAAATTAAACAGTGGCTTAATAAATGTATTTACCAGATTAGTTTTAGCGTATATATACCAGAATCGAAAACAAATTTTTTTCAAATAGCAATATAATAAAATTCTAATATTTAAGTTGTAATATTCAGTAATTCATTACTTGTAGCTCTTTGAGAACTATGCGTTTTTAATATAACCTCATAAATGAGTAAATATAAATATTATATGTACATGTGTTGATATCTCTATTTAAAAAGTTCAATTAAAAAAGAAAATAATTTTCAAGTTCAAGTTCTGATTTAAATAGAAAAAAGCACAGCATCATTATTTTGAAACTATTTCTTAATGACCAATGAACTTCCCATACTTAGTTTAACTAAAACAACAAAAAAATAATTACATACAACAAGAGCAATCAAATACAAAAAATCTATAACAAAAACACAATCTCATGCATTATCAAAAGTTTTGTATAACAAAAATAAAACAGCTTTTTTTATTGCATAAAAACTAAAAACAAAAAAACTGGTCACATCAAACTATAAATGATTTCGCGCTCTTTTAATTATTATCAGTACCCTTGTTTGTTTAAAAAAATAAACATGAAAAGTGGCATGCAAAACAAACTGATGAGCTTTTGGCATTAGTGCAAAAACCGGTACAATTCCATTCATTCATAAAATTGAAGTGGAAAGAACAACAAAATAAACAAATCATATGTTAATGTGAACACAACATTACTTGCTCTGTAAGTGACAAAATTAAATAGAAATTTTTTTCGTGTAAAGTCCAGTAGCATACCGTTAAGTTTTTCAAAGATTTGAAACAAACTGCGTGTAAGAATATGTTATAAAAAGTTAATTATTGTAAATAAGATTAATTCTGTAAAGTAGGCGATCCAACCCTAGCTGCAATAGCAGTATGTACCAATCAAATAGCAGTTTGATATAAGTACAATTCCAATCAGTATACCATAATGTACTCGCGGCAGAGTTTGTCAGTTAAGAACTTTAATCTGTTAAAGTCTATATGTAAAATTTAAAACTGATCTAGTTAAACTTATGTATCATAAAAACCTTATAAGTCACGAAACAAACCCGTTCACCTTGAAAGAAATCTAATTTGTAAAGAAATTGAAATCTAAATAGCAGAAAAAGTGTCATAAATCAAAACTTATTTGAGCTAACAGACGCAACTTAATTTTGTATTTCGATGGTGATAATTTAGTAAATATTTAACAATTTTAATCATTTTGCTTAAGTAAAAGCTACATACTCGTACATTATATATTTAAGTTTATATATTTGGCATGTAAATATTGTATGTATATTCACACAATGTCTTATTCACAGATATTTTAAAGCACATACCTGATAGTGGACAAAATGATGTGATTTTTTGGGCTAATGAAAATTTCAAAAATAATTGCTTTCATCGTTCGATAAATTTTTATACTAAGAGAAACATTTGAACGCCAACGATATTCCGGAGAAAAATTAAATGAAAGTTTAATGTCAATGAAGAGTATACTGTCATCTTAACCATTTTTCCTACTGGGTACAAATAAATTCAAATAACATACTATGTATATAATTCTAAAATAGAGAAACATTTGTCAAATTTGTCTAACAAGAAGCACTCTTTTCATATTTAAATCAAAAAATACACAACAAATTAAAAATTTTATGTCATATAATTATAAATTCTATTTAATTTATTAAAACACTAAATATATATTAATTTTAATTGTTTTTATAATATAAGTAAGTATGCATTCACATTAAAAGATTTAAAATAAAAAATTATGATTATTTACTTTTATTTATTTCTGAATATGTATACATTCTTGGTATATGTGCTTATACGTATTACATGTATTTTATATAGTAATAATTTTCTTTAAAATTAGAACAAATAAAAGTTTTCGTGACTTTAATTCAGAGATGCGTGCGCATTTTTGGCGTTTTTTGTTCATAATATATACTTTATGTATTAAGTTATTATTTTAAGTGCATAAGAACCATAGGTACTATAGATATGTGTTCTTTATATATTTAACTTAAAAATATATATTCGTTGTAATGCTATATACATGTTATATATAAGTACAATCAAATTTTTAGTGATAGCGAAAAAATAATATATATTAAATATCAGCTATTTTGTACAAAAAATCAAATAAAATATCAAAAACGAAAAGTATTCTATGCCGCGTATGGTGACCATATTATTAAAATTGTACATAATTATAACTTACAGCTTTTTACAAACCAGGACAAATGAAAATATTATCTTCAAATTATTTAAGAATTTAAATAAAATAATGTTAAGCTAATTATTATATAAAATAGTTTATATTACTTCAGCTTACTCACCATAGATAAATACATTCATTCGATAATCTTATACATATAAATGTGGACAAATTATGTAATGGTTATTGCACCGTTACCTTAACCGAAGAATTTCGGGTTCAAAGAAGAGTAAGATCACTATAAAAAATTATATTCAATTTCATATACTAATATACATTAGCTATATTATATTATAATATTGAATATGAAATAATTACATTATATAATATATGATAATATAGATTATTTTTATGAAATAATTACTAATTATTGTATAAACTAATTATTATATAGTTCCATGCATTACGTGCATTATTAAAATACTAACAAAAATTAAAAAAAAACAATAAATATCAATAACCTTAATATAAAGACTATGGTCACCCACCTACTCAGAACCGCAAGAAACTGGGACATGTTTATTAACGACATTATGAACCAATCCTTTACTTGTCCCAGGGGTTAAGTAGGAAAAAACAAAATACATATAGGTGTATAATTTAAAAATATCGCCCTGTTGTTTAAAAATTGATTACATCATGCGAAATTAAATTTATGTATGTAAAAATACACTTGCTTCTCACTCAGTGAGTAAAAAGACGTGATACGCAATTAGGTCTTATAATTTTATAAATAAGCACATATGTAAGTGATTTTAAAAGTTTAGTTTAATTTTTGAATGATTCATTTTAACTCGTTCATAATTATTTAAAAATAAAAATAAAATATTCTTCTAAATAAGATAGCAATGGTCTCTGTATTATTTTTTTATATATACCCCTATTCTATATACACATGTACATACAAATAAATTTACAAACGAAATAATTTATTTTAAATATGATTTCCCTTTTTTTTCGAATAATATCACTTTAAATCTCCTATACAATAAGTGAAAATTTTCAGTTCATTTCGGAAAATTAATCGAGACTCGTGGGATTTTAATATTCCGGTATAGAATAAAAAAAAAATATAAATGTAAAATAAGTGAAATATTGTAATAAAGAAATATACTTATGTATGTATGGAAATACGTAATTATATAGGTTTATTTGAATTATATTTAAAATTCAATAAAATGTTTTAACTTTAATATCTTTTAAATATATTATTATAATAATTTACTTGATAGAATAGCGTATAAAATAAAAAAAAATTAAAAATTAATTTCTCTGTGGTTTTATCATAAAGAAAGTGAATTTAAAATAAAATAATAAATTTTTCAGAATATTAAATAAGAATAAAGCCAGCAATAAAATAAATATTTTAAATATTTCACTTATACATTGTTAAATGCATAAAAATATAACAGTGAGTTTAAGCTTTAATATAAAAGGAATAATAATTTTTTATCAATAATTTAACAATAAAAAAACTGAAAATCGAATATTATAATAAAAAATTAATAGATCTGAAAAGTGTTAAAAATAAAATTTCATAATAGGGAAGATTTATTGATTTTTGTAGAAAAATAATAAAAAAAAAAAATATTTTTAATGCAAACACAATTTATCAAGGTTAACCATTATCAGAGTGAAGCATTAATTTAACAGAAAATGACGCAAATTTATGAAGAATAAATTAATTTAATTTTTAATATTAAAATCGAGTACAATAAGAATAATATTATTGTAAAAATTATATCAAAAATATAAAACACGACAATTATGCATAATAGCACATTTTAAAAAATAAGGCTTATTATTTTTTTTTTTGACAATAAAATTATAAAGAACCTTTCTTTCTTTTCATATGTAATTAGTACAGAAAACCAAGTCAACTCACACAAAACAACCCAAAGTATTATGTGCTACATACATACATATGTATATATTTTGCTAATTTTTCAATTATGACAATTATTAATAATTATAATTTAACAATTTCAAGTTTGAATAATCATTTTATAAAATGAATAGTCCAAAATTAAAATGTCAATTAGAAAAATTAATTTTATAATGTACAAAAATATTAAAAAAAACTATTTCGCAATTTTAGTATGTAGAAACATTATCTAAATTGTTGATGAAAGTTTTGCTATTTATAGAGGTGATATAGGAACATATTTTTTTTAAAGACATAAATAAAGGTAAAAGATACCCATAGCTATTGCCGATTAACTTTAATTTAGTAACTATAAAAAAATTACTTATAACAAATGAAAATAAAATCAGAATAAAACTTTATAAGTACATGTATATTACAATAATAGCTCACAAATTCTGGTTAGTTTTCCATACATAGCGTGTAGTACCTATATTTGTTTGTATTGCAAGTACTGCTTCAGGAGCATGTAGCTGGGCTGGGATTGCCCTTCAATACAACGTGTCACAACTGTCTGGAAATGGACAAGAAGGAGACCATTTATCACTGCCTCTGCGAGGGCGGAGCAGGACTGGTCACGTGGGGCATAGCATGTGGACGCGGCTGGACGAGTGTGGAAAATTAGGTTAAAATATGCCACCGGTAATTGTATGCTCAATCACGGTCTGGTGATCACGGGATAGTGGTAGCAAAATGGCAAATTTGTCATAATTAGGGTGAACCTGCTTTATCTGCCACGTCAGCCAACTATCTGCATGTCCTTTTTTTTAATTTTCTCATAATAAATTTATAGTAAGAAATTCCAGTTTATTAAAACCGTTAATATTACTTTCTTATCAAGTAAAACATATACGATTACAAAATTCTAAATTATATTTTAATGTCCCAAACATGAAGCCTTTAAAAACATTCTTCTTTCATACTTAAGAGATGAAGTTTCGAAAATTTTCTTCATTTTTATTTATAATTTATATTTAATTCTGTAAATTCATTAAACGTTTTTTTTTTATTATGTATTTGATTTGACTGCATTCTTATTCACATAATTTAAGAACCGATAACGTATAATAAGATGTCCAGTTATGTCCAGATTCAATATATTGTTTTGATCTAATTTCAATTTTAAAGATTACTGTAAAATATGAAAACAAAAAGATTGCCCAATGATAATCATTATTTTAAATTGATTCAAATTGTAATTACTTTATAATTTTGTACATTAGAATAATTATTCAATTATGAAATTATATTTATTATACTTATGATATAAAGCTATGAATTATTTCAAATTTATATTTAGTTTAGTTGTATTATGATTTTTGAAACACATGGAAAAAAAATCTTATTTCAACATTTAGTAGAACAGTGAAAAACGAAAGAAAATGAAATAGTTTCAAATCAACAAGAACTAAAATTAATTATTAAAACTGCAGTGATAAAAAGAAAAACGGTATTTGAGAATTTTCAACTTTTTTAATAAGCTGACATTGACACAATGATTGAAATTGATAAAGTACTTGAAAAATGTGGTGATTTTCATCGTTACCAGTTTATGCTTCTGTTCCTATTTTGTATAATTAATTTACTATCGTCAGTTCAGTATTATTCACAAACGATAATCAGTTTTATACCAGAGCATTGGTAAGTGTTAAAAAAATGTTGTTCTAGATCTTAAATTAACGAAGATTATTACGAAAAAAAAATTAACTTTGTGAGGTCGTAGCCAACGATGAATCTATAAAATCAAGCTCTTCCACATATTTCACTTTGCATTATAAACTCCAATACAAATTAAAAATTTAAATTTTTTTTGTCACAATATGGCTGAATATTCAAAATTCAACTTAATTAAAACCTAAGTAAGACCCATAAAATTTTTTGCGGGAATCTGCACCTATTTTTTTTTATTGTACAAAAAAATCCTGGAAAATTATAATCTGATACAAAGCATATGGTTACTCATTATAAGTAATTATAAAAAAAAATTTTTGATTAAAATTTGTAAATTCTAATAAATCATCAAATTCCATTGTGTTTACAGCAGTTGTGTTTTTGTTAAAAAATTGTAGAATCAAATCAAACAAAATTAAAGATCATTAGTTAAATTAAATGTCAATTGAAAAGTAAATAACGTAAAACACATATAGGGCTATATTCAAATAAAAGCAATTGGATAAACAAAATACATTTATATATAACTTATAAATTGTTTTCATTTCCCCCCACTACGCTTTTTATTTTACAAAACTTATATGAATACAGTATAATCCCCTTTAAAACAAAATTTTTGCAAAAATGTATTGTACCCTAGAACAGGGTGTTTATTTAGTTTAAGATTTGTGCGTGAGTTCAATGTGAGTGAGTTCAAAATTTAAACGTCTCATTAAAAAAGCATCTCCTCAGTTTTACAAACTTTTGGTGCAACAAGATAAAGAAATTGTTCGACGAAGTCAAATAAAATGAAAAATTATAAAAGTTTACAATTTACATGTTCCCGTGTTGAAGTCTTTTCTGCATTACGAAACAAAAAAGGGTTTTATGAACTTTGGTGATAAAAAAAAATTACCAAAATCATAATGATAAAACTTGCAATAAAATTAATGAGTTTTATTTATTCATGTGCACCTATTATTAATATACGTAATTAAAATTTCAAAAAGGTAATAATAATCAACCATAAAAAAATACAATTGAATAACAACAATATAACAATAACACAAATTAAATTCGTGAAATATCATCGATATCTTGTTATATACATACATAAATATATTTGTTATATACATATTGCTTATATATTAATTAGCAGCAGACGTTGACAACGTTAACAAATAAAAGAATTTTGAGCTTACTAAAAATTTTTACACGTAACGTAGTTGTTCCTTAGTATAAAAGTACCTATTAGAAGAAAAATTATAAATGATCTTTAACCATGAAATTATAACCATGTATATAATGGTTATAATTTCGAAGTTTAATAAATTTTATAAAATCATTTAAATATAAACCGTTTGCTAAATTCAATTTGAACACCGAACGCGGGAGTGATGCTCTTTATCACTTTTAGAAAATAAATTTTACAAATAAGCTGCTTTCGGAAAACAGACTCTTCAATGAACACCCTAATTATTCTTTCAACATCAGCAACATTTCTTGTCTCGTGGGGCAAAATTCGTCGTGCCTTAGGAGATATACTTCTTGTAACTCAAAAGTTGTCCCAAATTAAATGCTTAAAATGTATTTATTAAGCAACAAGCGTGGCAATACGCCCGAAATCATCTCAAATATTAATGCCAGATTTTGGTAGCGTTAGATTAATTTGATTCCTTTCTTTTTAATAAATTTAGTTTGCCTTAAAATTTTTATAATTTCACAAAGAATTAATAAATTTAATCAATCTTACAGTGTTTCTTTGTGAATTTTACCAAAAAAATAAATTAATTTCAAGCTCAAAATACATTTAAATATTACAACTTTATAAATTACTGGTGAAAAACTTTGCATTATTTAAAAAATTAACACTTCACTAATTAACTGTAATATACTATCTTAATCGTTTATGTTATATAAAAATATTCTGGGAAATTTATTTTCAAAGATTATCTTAAATAGCTAAAATAATTATCTTTAGACATATGTTAAAAATTGAGCAATAAGAAAAAGAATTTCTTCCCCATAAAAGTTCGTTGTATAATTATGTACAATTATATACTTATAGTTTTATTATATTTTATAGTGGGCTCCCTATGCACTTCCTTCAATTTTCATTTCAATAAAAGAAAACTTTTATATTAAAATATGAAATAACTTGAAAAAATTATGTATGTAGATAATTTTCCAAAATTTCATACTATTCAATTACCAAAACTTTTATATACGCATATACTTTTTTAATAGCTTTATTGTACTAGTTACTTAGCATACAACGATTTTTTATAGTTTTTAATTTTCTTTATAGTTTTGTATTTTTTTCACCGTCTTTCACCATTCCTCATTCAATTCCTAATATATGCTGAGCATCCAAAAGAGAACTTGGCACCCCAGCTTCTACTAGTAATTAGTACTCAGAATAATAAATTTTTTGTAAGAATATGTGATGGAATGAAATTATATGAAATGTGGGTGCAAATTGAATATAGTACAATATGTGTGCTCCATATTCTTGCTTCTTCTATCTCTTATACACGGTGCAATTTAAAAAAAAATAATTTTAATATTTTTAAGTACTTTTCATTTTCTTTTAAAATTATATTTCATTCATTACGTTATGCTAATTTATTTTGTTCTCTTTGTTCACTATCTGCGTGTGAATTTAACCTCAAATGAACCTGTATACACAATTGTCATTTTATTGCACTAACAAAAGGTGTTATCATGAACTATTACTTGAGCTTAATGTAACAGAAATAAGAAGAATTTACGAAGGAATTGAAAATCCATCTTGTGTTTCATATGATAATGTTATGCTTGGTGATAGACAAAATGAATCTGAAACCGAAATAATCATAAATAAAAGAAGTTGCACAAAATTTATTTATAATTATGATTTTGGTTATCATAGTATGACAACTGAAGTAAGAAGAAAGAAATATGAATGAATTAATTGAAACTTAACTACTGATTTTTGTAATTTTGTTTTTATTTTGGCTCTAGTTAAATTGGGTATGTGATTTAAAATGGAAAACAACTGTTGGTCAGTCAATGTTTTTTATTGGATCAGTTATTGGATCTTTGTTGTTTGGAATATTAGCTGATAAAATTGGTAATTTTAATTTTTATACGTTTAGAATCACGTTTTGTACAATATATGTCAGTTCTATGACATGTGCTAATTTTAATTGTGTTTCGTAAAATTTTTCAAAAATACGTATTAAATTTCATAATTCCAAATTAAGTGTTTTAACAATGATCAATTTAATTAATCTTAGTGAAAATAATTTGATTTCCTTATTTTTTTAAGGTAGACTCCCTGTATTAATATCAGCAAATATGGTTGCAATGACTGGAAATTTGAGTACAATGTTTTGTTCATCATTTGAATTCTTTTGTGTATGCCGATTTATAGCTGGTATGGCAACTGATAGTAATTTTGTAATGATGTATATATTGGGTATGTATCGAAAAGAATTCGTAAAAATTAACTTGCGAATAAATTAAGTCACAAAATGTTCACTATAAATTAAAAAAATTAATAAATTAAGAAAAATATACAGCACACTCTAAATTTAACTGCACTTGAAATTATACACAAATAGGCATAGCTTTATACTATTGGAAAAGCTCCTGTTGCTCAACCTAAAAATGAAGCAATTTGTTCGATTCTGTAAATATTTTATAGTGTATAATTATAAGAAAATACATCCAAAATATTTTTAAATTTTTTAAATTTCATAAGTAGAAGTAGCATTAGATAAGCATTTAATAAAACTCAAATATAATTTTATTTAAGTACACCAAAATTTAGAATGTAATTAAAATTAATAAGAACTTAAATTAATTAAATTACGTGAACGAAATGCACATATTATTCACATTATGCATTAAAGTAAAAAACTAAAAAATTACGAAATCGTAGAAAACAAATCACGTATAGCTTTAAAATGACTAGCTTATTAATATTCTATAATGAAGTTATGATGTAAATTTAAGTAAAATATCTAATCCAATTGGAATAGAATCTAATACAAACTTATGTACATCAATATCACAATCAATACTATGTTGTGCATACATGATTCGAGTCAACTCTCTAATTAAAATCAAAATATTGGATGCTAGTGCTTTTTAATCGAAATCGACGTGAACAGGGCTCAAATTTTATTCAAATTTTTTTTTCTTATTAGAAAAGCAATTCCATTTTTTTCCTATATCCATTTCAGTAGTAAGTATATCATTAAAATTTTACAGTACATAATTTTTTTTAAAACTTTTTAAAATTGCTCATATATATGTAGATAGGTACTTACTGAGATATATTGTATATAATTGACTTAAAAGTTTTGAAATTCAATCGCATCAAATTCGATTTTAAATTAATGAAATATTGCAATAATATAGAAACTTAATAATCCAATTAAAATTCTTAACATTGTATACGTATGTACACAATATTTGAAGTTATTTAACATGTAATTTAAATGTTTATGGCAATATTATGTCACATATTATTACATGAATAATAATTGAATGTTAATTTTAAATAGCTATTACCCATCCACAATACTATTCGGGCACTAATTATAAAATTATAAAACTTTTTACTATGCAATTCTATTATAATTTGTTTTGTTTCATTTTATTTTTTTTTATTGTTTATTATTCTTCAATACAGATAAAAATTTACGATATATTAAAAAAAATCCCCAATATAATAAACTAAAATTGATAGGTAATATTAGAATCAAAGTAATGGTTTGTAAAGTAGCACATTTATAAACGAGAAAAAATTGAGTTGACTATGTTATACCCGTTTGAATTTGTAATCCTATGTGCGAATAAATATGCTATAGCTGACTATGGAACAGACTATGACTTTAAGTTACCGTATTACCATCTTGATTTATGCAAAATTTCAGTACTGTGTAGTTTTTGTGTACAAAATTTCAATACTTTTCAATATTTTCTAAGATATGTTCAAACTACAATTGAAATCATAGGGCAGCTACCACAAGGAGTCAAGAAATTTTTACGATTTTGAGCAAAACCCATTGGCCCTACTAATATGTAATGTATGAAATTTCAATATCACGGCTTTTATAGTTTTTGAGATATAGCGAAATAAATTTGGAAGTTGTATAACAGGTCCCCCAAGCAGTAACTCGATCATATCGAATTTAAAAAAGGTTCTGGCATTTACTATAATAAATTTTTTGTGAGAATTTGGTGAACTTAGTTCAATTAGTTTTTTAGTTATCATTAGGACGAACGGACGGACTAACTGACAGACAAAACTAAATTAACTCAGAATTCGACGCTCACTTTGATTGACCGAAAATATTTTGATTGACCACGTTCTGAAGTTAAGGGATGAATTTTCGAAAGTTTGATAAAATTTCAATCTATGAATCATGTTTTGGTTTAATTAAATAAAAAAAACTATGATTTTACTCGTTTTATTTGTCAAAATAATCTATACATATCATGATGCCATATGTATGAGAAAATTTAACTTGCTATATAATATATTAATTAATTTATGTACATACAGATTTATGTAACTATGAATTTTCAAATTAAATTTCATTTTAAACTATGTATTGCTATTGTTGCTACAAAATTTTAAGATTTAAAAATCCAAAAAAAAAACTAGATTAATAGACTTATTGAAATTCGTATCAAATTTTGTTATACATATATTTAATTAAAACTTAAATACATTTTTTATATACTCATGTTCTAAAAAATTGCAAAAAAACAAAATTAAAGTTCTAATTCATTTCATGTAACTACTCATTTTGTTACAGTCTACTTCTCCATTTCTTTAAAAATTACTTTTTAAATGAGAAAAGAGAGGATAATATATTACAATATTATTACATTCTGTTTCAAGGAAAATTACATATTCCCTTTTTAACAGCATTTCTCTATTCAGAAATCTGAAAATAGTTTTGTGATCATTGTCAACGATAACGCTAGTGAAAGAAATGAGTCCATATTCATAATTGTATGTATATATGTATGTATATTTGAGCAGTCAATTGTAAAATATTTTACAATTTCTTTTATTCCCCATTTCATATATTATTGCAATTTATTATCCAGAAATATATAGTTTTTTAAGTAATACATACATACGTTATGCATTTATATGATGTATTGTAAAAGAAAAAGGGAAACTATGAGGCATGAGATGTTACATTAAAACTTATTTTATAATAATATAAACCTCCAGTTAGTAAAAGAGCACATTTTTTAATAGTTTTTAATTATCCAAGTGTTATTACGAACAGCGAGAATTTTTCTGGAATAGAAAATTTTTGTGATGTTTTCTATATACCTACATTAATGTAATTAATAAAATCGCGTATAGATACTATTTATACGAAAAAATGTATGTGCATTTACTGCATACAAGTAACTACATACTAGTAATAACATTTTATGTAGGTATTTGGTAGTAAATGTTCTGATAAAATTAAATAGATTTACCATTCAAAAGCTAAATTCTACCATCTGTTGAAAAATAATCTGCTGTAAATATTTTCAAATTAAAAAGAAAACTTTTATTGAAATTTCGAATCGTCGCACACTTTTTATTTCTCATCTCCTTCTCTAAAGTGCTACATATTTTATTTCCCTTACGTTTTTGTAATATTGTATAACTGCTAGAGATTGTATATTACAACATAATTTAATACAACTTTTTGCATTTTTCATTAAACATGCATATATGTACTTGAACAATTACAATTTGAAACTGGCATCGAATTTGAATTTTCATAATGTACATATATACTTGTACGTACCCCTATTCTTACGTACTTGTGCACATGAACAATATTTTTGAACAATATCGTAATATCAAAGAAAGTATTATTATAAAATATAAATGTCTCACAAACTTCAGCTTTCACTGCATATAAAAAAAAATTATTTTATTATAAAACTTATTTTTGTTTTTTCAATTATTATGAGAACAATATTTTTTGTCGATATTTTTTTTTTGAAACTTATTAAAATATTGATTAACATAAATTTTTTATTACAGTAATGGAATATATTAGACCATCTATGCGTACAGCTGGTCTAAGTTTGTGTATTGGTATATTTTATTGTATTGGATCAGCAGTAACACCATGGATTGCTGTTTATGTTGGTGATTGGAGAATGTTTCTATTAGTAACTGGTATACCATTTCTTACAGTTCCATTATCATATTTTTTGGTAGTTGAGAGTGCACAATGGTTGGTAACAAAATGTCAATATGATAAGGCAGTACAATGTTTAAAACGTGTTGCAAAATTTAATGGTGTACATGTTGAAGATTACATATTCGAAGAGTTTAAAATTAATTGTACCAAAAGTATGGCAAATTCAACGAAAGAAGTAAATATGTTAAAGTTATTTAAAACGCCAAGACTTCGTAGAAATACATTAATTTTATTTTTTAAGTCGTAAGTATATACTTATTGTATATTAAATGATAAATATTGTATATATTGCCCAGTAACTTGTCACCCAATTTTGATGTGAAATTTTTTTCAAAGCTGTACTTCCTAACCATATCATTCCTCGGCAGGCAAAATAGGAGAAGCCTCGTAGAGAAGGTGTCTCTGTTCTTTGACTCAATGATAGTTTCCCAGACCTTCCACTACTAATATTTTATCTTAATCTCGTGTGAGTTAAGTCTTCCTAATAATTTTACTGAAACTAATTCGGCCAATAAAATTCTCAATGTTAATAGTTTTTTTTCTTAAATTAGTAATTTTGTTTTTGGTTACAAAACTCTTTTTAGAATAACTTTTATAATACAACTTAAACATCTTTCCTTTAAGAGCATAAACTTCTAAAACTGCTTCCACTGTTTAGACCGGGTAATATATTTAAATCCAAATATTATTGATGTGACAGCAATTTTAAAAATAAAAATCTAAAACTATATCTATTGGAATAAAGGTACTACTACCAACTCTCCTTGAAGCAGATGACTGTTATTAGTGTTGTACGTTTGAAGTGTTACATTTATTAACCATTAAAAGGAAAGCCATTTCTAGGTGGTTCTTCATGAACTGTCGACCTGTCAATTTATGTCTATATTTTTACTTTGAAAGTTTATTTTTAACTGATCTAATAAGTGATAAATAATGAATTGTCTTTACCACTATTTTTCCGTATACATTTGTTCTGCAATCCAGATCAATTGTATAATATTATGTGGCTTTAATTGAGGAATATGAGTTTACGTCTGGCGTTACGAATTGAATAAAACTGCATTTAATTTTTACTATTATTGCTATTAAAAAATAATGGCATTAAATATGGTTTTATTTTTTTACAATATTGTTTAGAATGGTCCTAACCTTATGTTATGATGCAATTTCCCGCAATGTTGAAGGACTTGGAATATCACCATTTATAATGTTTTCATTAAGTGCATCAGCAATATTTCCAGCGTGTATAGTTTTAATTTTACTTCAAGACAAAATTGGTCGAAAAGCAATGGCATCTAGCTCATTATTAATGAGTGGAGTATTTACAGCAGCTTCCGGTTTAATTATACTTTATGGCAAATCAATAAATGGCAAATCACCTTGATTATATTATTATAAAAATTATTATAAAGTTTTAATTTTTAGATGTTATTCTTGTAACAACTCTAGCAATTATTGGACGTTTTGGTGTTACGGTTGCATATAACTCAGGAGCACAATATGCTACCGAATTAATACCAACTTGTGTTAGGGGGCAGGGTGTTGCAGCTGTTCATGTTGCTGGGTTTGCCTTCACATTCTTAAGTTCATACATTATTTATTTAAGTCAGCCATTTCCAGCATTAATTCTAGGTGTCCTATCTTTATTTGGAGCTGGATTATGTTTATTATTACCAGAAACTTTAAATAGGTAAGCGTTATTTTTTAATGTAAAGGGATATGAAATTGTTATTTCTTTATATTTTTGTTTATTTTAAGGACCTTACCGTGTACTTTAGAAGCTGCTGAAGAATTTGGTCGTGGAGAAAATATTTTCCAATTTTCATGTTTTGAAAATAGAACAAATAGAACAACTTCCACAGATAACTTAGGCTGTTAAATTTTTTTTTCTTCAAAAGTTAATAATTTAACTATAATAAAAATGTAAAATATAAAGTATTTTTCAAATTAGATGTGATACATTTTAAGTAAGTTTTTAAAGAAAAATTTTACCAAAGACAATTGTTATTGTTTAATACATTTGAAAAAAAACGTTTTGAAGTTTTTATTTTTAACTTATAAATGGAATATAGGACGAACATTTACAACAATTTCACTCAGGAAACCCCAATGATATTTCAGCAAATATTATTGCTGTTGTATACACAAACGCCAACACTGCCCTTTAAATTTTATATTTGAATAGCAAAAACAAAAAAACCAATATTTTTGTTTTTATGTTCTATCAAATTATCTGATTATTGCAGCCAATTTTCATTATTTAACTATCATCCTTAATTCAATTTGTTTGAATTTATATTTTTTCCGTTTTTAATTTTATATATTATCTGCACATATGTATATATACATTATTATATTATATAATCTATATAATCAAATAAAAAACGATTTGTATATTTACAAATTGCTAGATAAATTGAAAAAAAAAAACATTCTTCTTTATTTTCAATTTAAACTACTTTTTCCTCCTCATTTTTTTCTATTAGAAAAATTATTGTTACATTTCTTATTTTTATTCTCATATTCAATCGGAATTGATAAAAAAAAAATCATATAATTTCAACAGCCTGTCTTGACCTGGACTATATAAATGTATAAGTAATATGAAAACTCTGATCGAATCGAGACCAGAATTTTCAATAAGGAAAAACTCAAATTTTAATTTTACAATCATAGAATTCCTGAGCAAATAATATGTAATCTTGAGTTTTCTTTCCATTTTTTTTTCTAAAAGTGTAAGGATGTATGTTGTTTGCATGCATATGAATGCAATAATATATCTATATATGTATAGGATAAATATATTCATTTATCAACTTTTCTTACTTAAAAATTACTTTCTTTTTTTATTGTATTTTATTCAGAAATTTAAATTCAAGTCTAGAACGAAAAGAAAAAAAACAACGTATTTTTATCCTCTAAAGAAAATATTTGCACAGCTCAAAATAAAAGGATCCTTGCACCTCGTACTTATATATATCCAAATAAAGTTCTAAGAAGCAACGCAGTATTGTATCAAAATAAGACCTGTTATAAAACACCATTATAAAGTTTTATTTATTTCAAGCAATCGAATTTATATTGCAAAACTTGAAATATACATAAACTAAGGTTTTCTAAGCTGGGATGATGATTGCATTCATAAAATACAGCTAGATAAAGCTTATTCTAGTAAATTTTCGAATAATTGATAACGAAACTATTTTTCAGTTTTGGGCTAAATAAAATTGAAAATTTCAATTTTTTAAATTTTGTAAAAGTTGAAGAATTTCAGAAGAATCAACTACATAGCATTCCAAATTTCGCTTTAAATCAACGTTGTATTGCAAATGTTCTAGCATTCGCTGCAGCAAATGTAAATTTTAAACACAATGTTCAAGGAATAAAAATTAAGAAAAAAATCAAATGAAAAGAAATTTTTCTTTTCCAATAAATTTTTATCAAGTTTTTGTTTGTATATCCACGCTATATAAAGTTCAACTTATGCTAAGTACACTTTAAAATATCGGAGTATTAAATTTCAAGGATAATAATAAACCATAGGAAAAAAATCAGAAAGAAACAATGTATGTATATGTGATCAAAAAAGTTCTTTTGTTGGCACAAAACTAGCAAATAGGTGAGAATAATAGAGCATGAAATAATATTATTCTTTACTCGTCATATAATACAGAAAATATAGTGTTGACTATATAAAGCTAAATATAAATAACAAGGTAATAGTTGTCTTTATACTAGATAATCTTAAAGGTAGAGGTAGACAGTTTATTATTATTATATATTTTGCTTCTTTATTTCAATTCTCTTACTGCTAATCTGTTACTACTAATCATTTGGAATAAAAAAAAAATTAAATTTATTTTCATGTAAAAAGAATCTTTTTTATTGAATTCTTAAAAATAAAATTGAATTTTTCCTGAATAAGAAATTATTGGTACATGTGATTTATAGTTTACTCTATAAATTTGTTTTAGGAAAGAAAAGTACAAATTTTATAAATTGAGAACAAATTATAAATAAAATACAAATTTATACTATCTACATGAACCAATATAATTTATGCATATTGCTCGTATATATTTACACACTATCAATGTTCTCACAAGTATGTTGCTTTTATAATTTATCTTAGTAGTAATAATAATTTGTGTTACATATGAAAAAGGAAGGAAAAATTAAACTATACAAATTCAATACTGAATTAAAAAGCACTTATTAATTTCATGTTATTATAAGCGTATTATTTCATGTTAAAATAATTTTATAAAAAACTTGCAGTAATTACTACACGAAAATAGATATTTACTTTCGCAAAACCCTCTGAAAGACTAAAAATTTATAGAAAATACGTGTTTCAGAACCTTACCACCTGAAGAACATTAGTTAAATTTAAGGCAGACTTATGATTTTACTTTTATTATACTATTCTATATTATACTAAAAAAAACGCATGTCTAAAGTGGTTATTAACCATTTCAAAGATCATATTTCTGTTTTATTAATAAAATATTTGATAACTTGGAATATTTTTTCTTAAAATAGAAACAATTTTTATCTTTATATACCATACATAATTTCAACACTGCGTAAAGTATTTGTATTATAAATATTTTGCATAAGTGCAGGCGAATGTGCAAAAGATTATTTTAATCTAAAAAAATTCTAACGATCATCTGATATACACTTTTACAAATATTTCTGTCAAAATAAATACTATGTATTTGATCTGTTTCACAATTGAACGACATAAACTCACATTACACGTAAATCGAAGAAACTTCAAAATAACAAATTAAACGGTATGATTTTGATTAACCAGTTTTTTTGATAAGTAATAAGTATTTTGAATTTGAATCAAATCTCGTTCGTTAAAGAAATTTTCATAAATAGTGCTTATGAAGAAATGAATCAAATCAATATGATAAAGTTTGATAAATTGGAAGTAAGTATTAATAGCTGATACAATTCATTTTTATATTTTTATTTTAAACGTTTGTTTTTAGTTCGGAGATATGCATTTCCGAAAAATAAAACTAAATATCCAATTTATGAACATTATGAAAATTTGTGAAACAAGGGAAATATATAGAAAAACAAAATATGCTGCAAAATTCAGTTTTATTTCTTATATATTAATATTTTTAACCGGAATCAAACCGGAGTTGTGGAAAAAATTAGAAAAAGTAAGTGTTTTATATAATCAAACGTATCTGAAAATAGGAATACTGACTTATCCGTTGTCAAAACAAACGAAAATTTAAAATAAGTGAGTATGAAATTTTAGATGAGAATGTTATTGCTGCAAATATTTGCATAACATTAACATCGGAGACATACACATTAATCCATTACATACAATGATTTTAATTTAAAAAATTAAGTTTCGAAAAAAACGAGTCGACAGTGGAACTTATTAATTATATTTAATTAGGTAAACTTTTTTTTATTAAGTGACAATCCACTACAAATATTTTAACTACTTACACTATTTACATGATATTTAATTTTAAGTATTTCCGAAATTTCGCATGTTTACCATTATTCTTAAAAAGATAAATTTTTTTAATAAAACATGAATAAACTTAAAAACTTTTTAAATAGTGAACCTTTTTTCAGAAAGCTATTAAAAGTTTATTGAATATAAAAACAATACAGCCAAAATTTATAGCACCACTAGGAAAAAAGATCTACATTGTATACAAAAAGAAAACATACAAAAAATGCATTCAACGTTTAATAAAACATTATTCTGTTTAATAACAATGAATACCAATCTAAGAACCCTCTGAAATAACCATTCTTCTAATCGGTTCTCTAACAGTTTAACAAAAAGTAAGAAATTTCACAACTATAAATAAAAAATAAAATAAACGTTGGACTTTGTTCCCTCTAGCATTATGTCTAAACTAAAATACAATCTAAAATAACAAAATATTTAATAAAAACTTTTCAATACAACAGAAAATAAATTTTGTAATAAAAGAAATAAAAGAGAGGCGTAAGAAAATACAGGGTGAAGCAAAATATAGGAATTTTGAAAGATTTTGCTGTAATTCAAAATTTTTGAAAAATATTCATAATCGCATTTCGAAAGTTTTTGCGAATTTACAATTTAATTGTTCAACGCATTTAAACTTTACTATAATATATAAATTTAATTCTATTGAAAATTAAAAAGGAATAAATTTAATTGTAAAGCAAATATAAATATTAGAACTAGTTTAAAAATTTAGCTCTTTGTATCCAATCTCTATTTATTCGTCATACAACTGCAGAACAGATGGATGGCGTAATCAAAGGAACGACTTAAAGGCAGAAAAATTAAAAAATTTTTTCTCCTCAAACTGGACTCGAACCAGTGACCTACCGCTTTTTAGGCGGACGCTCTACCAATTATGTTGTATTAGTAAATTCATAATATTATATTAATATTTAGAATTAGTTGAATAAAAAAAAATAAATTTTAAAATTTTAATCTTATTTCAAAACCTAAATTAATAAATTTCCATAAGTGAAAATATTATAAAAACGAAAATTGCCATTTTAAATTTTAAAGATAAAATAAACTATAGTCAAAAAATTTCCATTCCATTTTAAAAAATAGTTTAATTTTATTTAAAAAAATTAATTCCCTATTTTTACTTTAAGTATTTATGCTTTTAAGAATATTTAATATAAAAGAAGCGAGAACGCTTAAGAAATCTTATTTGATTTTCTTCTTTTCAATAGAATTTCTCGAAACTGAAATCTTTACCTATGCTATACACAAACTTATAACAACGCAGAACTACTGAAAATTCTGAGAAAATTTAGAAAAAAGCATTTCATTGTTATTCAAAAAAGGAGTCCTTAAAAGTTTTCAATATTCTACAAAATATCTAAATGCTTTAAAAAGAACTGCTTGGAATAATTTTTTGTTAGATTATTTAAAAAAAAAAAATTTGAGATTAAATATTTGAAAAGAATAATTATTATGTTTTGAAGATTATAATACTCGTATGATTATGTAAAAATTTCTCCTTTTGTATATGTTTTTGTAAAAACATTTTAAGTTGCGAAATTTTGTAAAAAAAGATATTTACGAGTATAAGTATAAAAACACTTCTTATTAACTTAAATTTCACTAGCCAACACCTTTCATGCAATATTAATTTTTTTTGGACATATATATATATATATATATATATATATTAATTACTTTGGAATTTACATGCTTTTAAAATTTAATCTAGCTAACATTTTCTATTTTAATTAATGGTATTAAAAATTAATTAGTATTAAACAATAGTATTTTCTGAAATAAAATGTCATCAACAAAATTACATGTTCGATTTAATACAAAAATCACATAATTAAAAAGTTATATTTTTCGATAAATTTCTCCAATTTACACGTCACTGTAATATATTGTGACATTTAACGCAAATATAATATATAAGACGATGAGTTAGCTAGCTAGTTGTGACATTTTAAAATTCAATTAATTAAATACATATAAAATAATATTAATTGTTATACTTACATTTTATTTTTGTTGCCTTTTTTTATAAGATAACGATTTTTTCATACAATTTACAATATTACTTTTTCCTTAAAATAAAATCTACATTGCATTGTAATCTGCCAAGTCAGAAGTATTTAAATTGACAATTTTGCAATATAAATAACGAAAACAAAGATGAAAACTTTTCAACAGAATAAAACATTAGTATTTATATACATACATATAGGTAGTAGCATGTAATATAACAAAAAAGGATATACATATACGACTGTGTGTATGTATATATGTAACAAACAACAAAATATAATAAATTGAACTAAAAACCAAAATAAAAAAATTATTTTCCATATAAATCTTGATGTTGTCTCATTTACTAGTAAATTAACTTCATTTTCATTCAGTTTTATTTGCAATCCCAAATAATTTCTATACTATGTCTATACTTTTACAATTCCCCACTTTTTACAACATGAAAAAGGGCATATGTACATAATACATATTATGTTTCGCCCTTTAAAACACTGGTAAGAAAAGATATTTTAAATAACAGAAATCGTCAATCTTCAACATCAAGGTTTTTTTAAATTGAATCACCAAAAATATATATAACTGGATCTACATACATATATAACTCCAAAAAAAAAAAAATATAAATTAAAAAGTTGTATTTATATAGGGAAAAGGAGTAGTTGGGGCTCATCTAGAAGGTTCTCGACTGTTGCAATTATATAAAATTTTGTTTAAAATTAATTTAAACTTAATGACGAGAATTTTCAAAATTGAGAAATCAGTGCATTATTGAATTTACATATATTTCTCTTACATTAGTACTGAAATTTGTTATTCATTAACCATAATAACATTAAAAAGTTGTAAACACCTTAACAAAAAAATGTCTTGTGAGTTAGTGGTTTGTTTTTACAAAATTTTGAATTTTAAAGCAAGAAACCATGTAGAACTTCTTTGGTTTATTATACGAATCTTAAAACTATAGAAATCATTGGAGCCTTTCAATTAATCCTCTGGTAACTTACTAATTTACATATGCACATGTTATGTTTTTTGTTAACTATGTTTCTTAAAACAAATGTATGTAATTGGAATAAACATTTCGGCAATGTTACTTACATAGCTTAGAAAATTTTGAAATTCGTCGCTTTAAAACATTGAAAATTTTACAAAACTCCAAAGAATAACAATATATCTATGTATTTTTCACTTTAACTGTTGAAGTTACTAAAAAACTCCAAAATAAAAATATCTCACACACACACACTTTTCTAATTCTCTTTGTTATTTAATGTGATATGTGTATAACACGTCATCATTGTTATGAAAAATTCATACAACCCGATGATGACAGTAATAATAACCCATTCGAATATACTTATACGCATATAACCAAATACATATATTTATACTACATGTATTACAATACATAATATGGGATATATTGTACATTTAAACATATGAATGTTAAAATACAACAATATTGTGTGGGAAAGAGAGAATGAAATATTGAATTTAATAAAACCAAAAATTCTTGAAAACTGATAGAAAGTGAGTAAAAAGGAAAAATAATGAGACTACATTTAAAGAGTTTATTTTCGCTTTGTTTTGAAACATCAGAAAGCAAAACCACAAGAAAAAAAGACAAGAGAAAAATCTTCTCTGGAGGACCCTTAATGTTATAACATTATAATAACGGTATTATTTTATCCTTTTAGTTAAATTTTTTTTATTTTTTTTTTTAGTTTTTCTCCCCTTTTTTTTTTGCTTTCAATAATATGTGGTCTTATAAAACATTTGAAGTCGTTCGCAATATAGAATCGAATACAAAAAAAAAATTTATTTTTATTTTGTTTTTATTTTAATAAAGTTTTTAATTTCATGTGTATAGGCCTGTTACAAGTTGAAAAAGAGGTTAGAAATTGAATAAGTGAATTAAATTTTATTTGTATAATAAAAATTGTGTTGCCCCAATAAAAAGTTATGAAAAAGGATTTCAACATTTTTGTCATGTTTTGAAAATTTTAAACGCTCAATTGTAAATTGAACCATACATGTATGAAGCCGATAATTTAGTATTCAATAGTTTAATCTATGATATCAATAACGGAAACAAATTTCGGTACTCAGTATGACTTTTTATAACCTTAATTTAAAAGTAACGCGAGATACAGCTAATTAATTTACTTATTCAAAGATACTTTCAAAAACCTATATTATATATGATATTGATAATAAGTGTGCGTATTAACCTACTTTTTTCGAAAACGTTTACTATTTCAGTGAACAACTTCTTTTCGTCTCTGTAGAGCCCAAACACTGAAAAATAATTCAAAGCTTTTAAGAAATTTTTAAGCAATTTATTAAATATTAAAAATTTTAGATGCTAAGCATTCCTATCTAGAAAAAACTCTCCTCTCTTAAATATTTGATCTCATTACATATATAAATAAATTGAGAGTTTTTATATTTCTTGTAAATACCCATTTTTGTCTAGTATGCTGATTATAATTAATATTTTTTTGTTTATTCAATACATTGTGTAAATATTGTAAAGTAACAATTCTCTACTTACGAGTAGATATGCGTTATAGATACAATTTATACAGACGGTCATTTTCTGATTTTACAACTCATTGCTTGGTGACTTTCAAAAAATCTAACGTAATCCTTTTCCTGAATTTTTTATTATTTTTTATATATTTTATAGTCCATTTTTAGTTTTTTTTTTTTTTTGTTAGCTGTTGCTCCCTACTTCAAATATTGTAGTGGATATTATTTATAAACATACTCTTGTAAATCCATATTATGTACATAGTTTAGAAATTGAAAAATAAAAACCTAAAACAATTTTTTTTTTGTTTTAACAATTTTTATTTTTACTGAAATCTTTGGAAAGAGAATGTGAGTGAATATAATACAGAAATGTAGCCTCATCATTATGTTATGGTTACTAAATGTATATAAATTTTATTATCATAAAAATTACAATGTATAACAGTTCATTATTATAATAATAACCGATATTATCTTTATATTTTTCTGAGGTGAATTTATATTTAGGTTTTATGAAAAGGAATTCTACTAAATGAAAAGAGTATGTGTAATGTTCGTATTTATATAAAAGGTTTGAAAGTTTAGGAAATTACAAAGTATCTAAAAATAATTTTTCATTTTAATGTGAACTTAACAAATTTAAAATTTGCAACTGTTCTCGTTCGTTTTTAATTTTGCTTACATACATATACTCGTATGTTAACACAAACACATTAATTTTTTTTTAATAAAATTCCGTATTAATTTTTTGCAAAGCGGAAGCACTTTTTATTTTATTGTTTGTTAATATTTTCAATATTTCTTTTCTTACATATTACAGTTTTTCTTATTACTTACTCTTACAATTTCTTACATTACTAATAAGTATAATTCACATTGTATTTCTTAAACTTACAAATTATAATAAATTCATTACATAAATATAATTTACTTTTCACTCATTCCGTTTACAATATTTTAAATATAAATTTTTAAAAAAATATTTATATTCACGTAATTTACTTTGTTTCCTACTAATTAATATTTGGTTTTCTTTATAATATATAATTATTTTGATATGGAATTGATATGTTAATGATTAAATTCATTTTTGATTTATAGTAGTTTTGGTTTTAATATAGTTAAATTAATATATTAGCACTTTTGTTTCATTTAAATTTGATAATGTATATATTGATTATTTTACTATTTTTTTTTTATATATTTATTATTACATTTATTTTAAAAAATATCACTCATAAATTATTATTGCATAAATAAATCTCACAATATTACTGATTTGTGATCAAAATAGTAGCAGATTTTTTTTTCTTTTAAAAAAATTAGCAAAATTTTAAAAACAATCTTAAGCGTTTTCCTTAACTATATAACTTTTATGTTTTTTAGTTTTCAAAATATTTAATATTATTATTAAAATTAACAATAAATTTGTCTTAGTCTAATGTGATTTATGTAAATTCGAAAACAAATAAAAAATTTAAAACGAATTTTAAAGTCGAATGTGTAAAATAGGGTGTTTTTCTTTTGTTTAAGTAAAATAATTACTTTTAAGTGTTTAACGTGCATAAAGTGTACAGTTCATTTTATTTAAAGTTGCTATTAGATTAGTCATTGTGTATGAAATATTCTTGTAACATTATGGTTATTTCAAAAAGTTGTTTACCCAAAAGTATTAATAAGTTTTGTTTTTTTTCAAAATTTATTTTGCAAAAACTTAGAAGTTGCAGAGTATTCATATACTTTACTTAAGCTTGAAATTTTTTTGTAACTGCTATATTTTTTTTCTAAAGAAAATATTTTCCATTAAAAGGTTTTTTTTTATATGTACATATTCTCAATTATTCTCAAATCTTATAGCTCTCCAATAATCGAGGAAAATATTTTAAGCTTCAAAATTATTATTATGTACTTTTAATAAACCAAATTTTTAATGCAGCCATCTATAAAACCAACAAACTTTTTCTTAAAATCTAACTTAAATTTGATTCAAAAAATTCTTTAAGATACAGTATTAGCCTTATACTTTTAGATATATGTATAATATTTTTGAGCATTTACTACACTTTCGTTATGGTTTTATAAATCATATTTTGCAAGTTAAATTCTTCAAATTAGAAATCAAATAAATACAATTTATTAAACTTCAAATTTCAATAATAATAGATTGATCAATAATAATAATAAGAATAATTTAATTAAAGATTTTGATGAATTTATATATTATTATATCAAATAAAGAATTCATAAATTAATACTGCAATACAAGTAAATTGACCGTTTTAGGTCTAATTAATAATAAATCAAGAAAAAGCCTCACAATTAATCAATATAGCAGCAAAATCAATTAATCAATTTCTATAAGATTTTAAACAATTTTTTAGGATTCTCTTACACATTAAATTGGTCAATGAGAAAACTTACTCAACCTTACAACTAATTTTTTGCAAAATTGTAAACTACAAACCAAAAATTAATTTTATTTCCAACCGACCAATTTATCTATACTTCTTGGAAGTTGTTTAAAAAATTAATATTAAACATAAGTCGGAATACATTAAAATATTTTTTAACCTACTTTAAGGCGATTTCTTAATTTTCACATTGATTTTAGAGAATTCATTGACATAGACAAAACAGAAGGGCGCCGGTCTGTTTCATTAACATCTGACATTTTCTCCTTTTGTTTTTTTGTCCATGGAAAATCAAACATTTTCTCTCCTAATCCGAATTTTTCACCATCTTCAAGTGTATTTGGCAATTGTCTGTAACAAACAAAAAAATGATATTTATATAATTATAAATTGGTTAATTAAAATGATATTTAAAAAAAATTCTTTCTTACTTATTCATTGTTTCAGGGAGCAGAAGACATAAAAATGAACCACTAAACAATAAAATGCATAATATTATAGATGGCAATGGTTTAAAAAATTTTCCCAAATAAATTATGTAGGCACTCAAAAATGTCACACCATAACCAAATAAATGAACAGCTCCAACAGCTTGTCCTCGAACACATGTGGGAATTAATTCCGCTGCATACTGGGCTGATGATTCATAAGAAATGCAAACACCGTAACGTGCAATAAATAGCATACATGCTAATAGAGCAACATTTTGATATTGTTGTTGATAAGCAACTATAATACCAGTTGCAGCTGTAAATACACCACCAATGAATAATGACATTGATGCCATAGCTTTCCGACCCAAACGATCTTGTAATAATACAACAGACATGCAAGACGGCAAAACTGCCATTGAGCTAATTGTAAACATTATGAAAGCTGATATTCCCATATTTTCAACATTTCTCGAAACAACATCGTAGCATAAAGTAATAACAACACTATGAAAACGAATTAAGAACAAATATATATCCTTACCTCAAATACCAAAAAAACAAATGAAAACTTACGATTTGAACAGAAGAATGCTAGTTAATTTTCTTAACCTTGGAGTTTTGAACATTGTAAAGAAATTAACTTTTGTATCCGTTTCTTCGTTTTTCTCTGAATAATAATCTTCAAATGCTTTGAAAGTTTCTTCCGGAACTACACGTCCATTAAATTTCGCCATTCTTTTTAAATTTTGCACCGCTCCATTGTAATCTTTTCGTGTTACATTCCACTGCGGACTTTCAATCAAAATGAAATAGGAAAATATCACAATCACCAAAGGAATTGAAGCACACCACAAATATATTTGCCAATGTCCAACCCAAACTGCAAGCCATGGGCATGCTACTAAGCCGGCTGGATAAAATATACCGGTTACAAAATTTAATCCAGTAGTACGCATGGACGGACGTAAATACTCTAAAACTTTTTTATAATAAAAACAAAAATTTCTATTATTGAGTTTATACATATATAATTTTTTTAAAATTAGCTCACCCAATATGTATGTCATATAATAATTTGAATCAGCAGCTAAACCAGACAAAAAACGGCAAAATGAAAATGTTACTACTGTGTTCGAGAATGACGTGACAAAATCTCCAAAAGCACCAGTTAAATTTGAAAGAATTATAACTGGTAATCGCCCCAATTTATCAGCTAAAACACCAAAAGCACTCGTTCCAACAACAGAACCAACGAAAAAAAATGATTGACCAATTGTTGATTTAAATGATGAATGGCACACCCAATTTAACTAAGAAAGAATATAACAACAAAACAAAAAATTATTAAGGATTTTCTAATATTTTTATATAGCAAGGGTTTCATAAACAAATAACATTTTTTAAAGCATACAATCAAATCCACATTTTTAATTTATGAACAACTTTTAATTAAATATAGAAATATAATTTAAAAATAAGTTCAAAATGTCCACAATAAATTCAAAATGACACCATGTACCATAACTGAGTTGCATGTATTCGTTTGTTGGGTGATAGATGTATATTTAGTACACCTTTAAAAATGTTTCCATCAGAAAAGTTTACATACTTTTAAAAATCCTTATATTAATCAATTTTTTTCTAAAGCAATCATGTTCCGCCATGCTTTATACAAACAATTCCACGTACATTTTGAAATATTCCAACACGTTAATTAAAATATTTTATTGCAAATATCTTTCATACAATAACATCTACTTATAAGCTTTATTAATTACATTTGCTTCTTTATCTTTTATATTTTGAAAAATAATTTACACAAACAAAGCATAACTTGAATCACGGAATGACGTGAAAATAATATTTTATTTTCCAAATTCCTTAATACAAACATATTTTTACTTTAACATCTGTTGGATACTTTAGATTTTCATTGGTAAATGAGTCTTTATAATTTTTTTTTTTTTGTGCAACATTAGATAAAACCGCATTAAAAATACAAAATGTATAATAATTCTTTTATATTACAGGTACTTTGAAGGATATTTTAATAATAACAGTAACTTTTTATGTAATATATAGTTATGTATAAAACATACAGTATATGAAAATAAATAAATAAATAAAATTCACCTCGGTTGTCATACTTCTATATCCAAATTCATAGTTATAAATCCACCTGTCACAAATTTCATCCTTGGCCGGTATACCTCTTCCATCAACAATATCACTTAATTTTGTACAAGATGGATTTTCGAATCCACTATAAATCTCTTTAATCTGATGAAAAGACAAATTTTCCAGCTTTTCATGATGACACCTAATTTTTAGAATAGAAAGGAGAAAGAATAAATTGAATGTACCAAAAATGAGAGAAAATTTTATTCATTTTATTTATTTTTGTATTTTGTTTACTCTTGGATTATATAATATGTGCACTCTTATACTCGTATACACATACTTATGATATATTTTGTTTGTGAATGTTAATGATAAGTTCTATGTTTATAAAATATCATTTTTCATTTTAAAAAATACAATTTTATAATTTATAAAATTCCATCTAATTTATAATAATAATGAATTTTGTAAAAGTAGTCGCTAAACAATACAAAATTGTATTTAAAAATGATGTGCCGACCATGATAAAAGTGAATTTGATAAATTTAGACCAAATATTATTAATTAATAAAAGCATTTTAGAATTATTATATACATGCATACAGAAATTTGTTATACATTATTTCAATAAATAAAGAATTTCATACGAAACAATTTATTTTTATTTCATATGTACCTATACATATATACACTACAAATATACATATATGTATATGAAAAAATGTCCGTGCAATTCTTAAAACTTGATTTGTCAAAATTTAGTAACATAAAAACTGTGTCTAGAAATTAAAGTGTAAGTTTATAAAAAATGTTTATGAATGCGATAATTTCGAAATTGCCATTTTCTGGTATAAGTGGTATGCATTATGCTTTATGTCTGACAGTTTCAATGTATCCAAATGTCATGTTTTATTTAAACAATCATTAAAGAAAAAAATAAAATTTAAAGAGATATTATTAAGAAAAATGGAAGATTTTATTTCAAAACAAAAAAAAAATTGTTTTTAGAACAAATTGCAGCTATAAAATATCACAAAGTTTTAATAATTCTCATAGAGATTCTTTTCTTATTTCCAAAAAGAAAATATTTGTATAAGGAAACATTAAATAAAACTTTAAATAAATTTCAATTTCTTACTAACACAAGCATTTTTTTAAGAAATTTCATATTTTTTATTAAGTGTATAAGAGTAGAAAGAAATTTGTTTCTCTCACAATGTACAGGTTTCAATGTACAGGTACAATTTCCGTTTTCATATAGTTTTTCTTATAGTTTTTTTTTTCAATTTGTTTATACCTTTTTAATATATTTATAAGGGAAAATATATATGTATGTATATGCATTGTTCAAAGAAAATGACAAATAAAATGAAAGCATTAAGGTATTCAATCACAAGCAAACAGAAAAAATAAATCAAAACGTTATATAAGAAATATATTGTATATCATACAATAAAATAAACATTATTATACAAAAAAGTATTAGAAAAGAATAACAAATAAACACATAAATGTAATTGTAAAAATTTCAATTTCAACCCATGATGGATAGTGTTCGTCTAACAGAAGTATCCTGCAGGATATTAAGTGTCACATAGCATAATATAATGGTAATATAAATAAATACAACCTGGAAAATAATATTATGGATAGTAAAGCTATAAGAACAGTACATGTACCACATTTTATATTGTAATCAATTGTATTAACAGACACATATACTTTTAAAATTGAATAACTATATGTATAAAGAATATATTTTTAATATATGTATTTACATATAATATATTTGGAAAAATGACATTGAAAAAGAAAATGTTGTATAAACAATTTACAAAATTTTATATTTAAATTTACAATAATTTTTTTTTTGTAGTAATGAAAATTTTAATTATGATTTAATTATATGTATAATAACTTAGTGTATTATACATACTTAAATGTATATATATATATATTTTTGAAATTTAATTTAATATTTTTCTAGAAGGTCAACTTTTCTAAAAAATTTTCTTTTCAAGTTCGTTCTATCAATGATGTTCTCTTTAGTTATACATGAACTTAGAAATAAATATATAGTTTACCTCAATATTGTGAAAAACTTTAACATAGTCCTTTTCAAATTTTTTCCCTATATTTCTAAAAGAGCAACAATATGCTACATAGAAAAATAATGTAAGAAGTTGAAATAAATGTACTTGTAGACATTTATTTGTAGGTGTAAAAAATATAAATATGAATGTACCAGGTGTAATAAATTTCTTAAGAAATAAATAAAATCTTTAAAAAGAAGAAATAATAATAATAAAATGAAAAAATAAAAGGAAAAATATGGCATGTATACAAAATAACGAGTTATAAAATAAATATGAAGATGTTAAATTTTAAAATGGTCATGAATAAAATGTTAAATTATGTACAAAATTTGAATTTATTTTTATTTGAAAAGTTGAAAATAATTTTTATTATATTATTCAAGAGATTTATATATTTTAATTTATAAAATGTTAAATATATACATGGAATTTAGAAAATTTTCTATTCAAAATAAAATTTAAAATAATGGCGGTATACAAGCTTATAAGCATAGCACAAAGCTTTTTGAAAAAAGATGAAAATGAATTTAAATAAGTAAAAACTATAAATATGGTTTATGTTAATTATTTAATTGATGATATAATTTATAATAGTATTTTTAATAATATAATTTTTTCAAAAATATTATTTTATTATAAATTTTTTAAAAACGAAATATGATAAAATTTTTTTGAAATTTAAAAATATAGCTTGTTTAAAGAACTTTTCATATAATCTATACAAAAATAATTCATTATTATTGCATACACATATATTTTAAAACAATTATATTGCATAAATTAAGGCGAAGAGAAAATTAATACATCGTTGCTAATAATATATAATGTGCATAGAAATAAGAAGGTACGTATAAATGAGTAAACCGGTATACTATATAAATAAGTAGGTTTAAATGTATACATTATGCATATATTAAAATAATATATTAAAATAATATATATAATTTATATTATGTATTTTCATTGATTAATTGAAAGATTGAAAGACTTGTACTTTAAAAAAAAATGTGTTAAAAATGGCAAACTTTTTAAAAAATTAAAAAAAAATAATTTACTATGGAAAACTTACATTCTTTAAAATTTTAAATCAAATAATTAATATGAAAAATTATTAGTATGAGAAAATTATACATAAAATTATGCCTATGAGTTAATTAAAGCATTATATAGCATTGAGTTTTTATGATTCTGCTTATTCATAAACAGAATATTAATAATTAGTATTAGTGGAAATTATGAATTTCTATTTGTATTAAACGAAGAAATTTCCTTTCTAAAAATGTCGACTACAGAAATTAATCTCTAACTTAATCAGTATAAAATTCTAGTCGTTATTTTAATATTAAGATTGTTCCTTTAGTAAAAATAGAAATTCAAATTATTGGCACTATTGTTTGCACAGTGTAATAAATATGGATCATATTTTGTTTTATTTTTTCGCTTATTAAAATTGTTAGAAAGCAAAGAAAATTAAACATAAAATTGTTAAACAATGTTTGTTATAACTGAATATAGAGTTGAAATAAAAAGCCGAAGTTTTTATTTTATATTTTTTTATTTTTCACTATTTTAATGGCTGTATTTTGAAAAAGAGACAAAATGGCAAAAAACAAAAATATTATTTCAACTTACCAATGTTCTGGAACAAAACTAATAATAGTTTGTGAAAAATAATGCATTGCTAACATAAAATTTATGAAAGCAAAAACTCCTAGTAAAACAAATTGATAACGATTGAAATTTCCACATTTTTCTAAAATTTGATCGTAATTCATTTTCGAAATAAATTTTTTGTTTTTCTTTTTGGTTTTTTATCAAATAGTTATAACAGTTAATTTTGTCTTATATAATAGCAAAAGTTAAGTTTCTAATTAAATAAAAGTTTATGTTTTAATTATCCAGTGAGATTGTAAGAATATTTCATAATTTATAATTCATTATTAAATTAGTATACTTAAAATATTAAAGCTTTCTTTATTCATTAATTAAAATATTAAATCCACGAATTGGTTTGAAATTAATTTATTTTATTTTAAAATTGTAGTAATATTAGACTCTAGATGTAGCATTCTTTTCGTTATACACACCTCTATTCAATAAAATTTTTATTAAATAACTAAATTTACCTATATGTATATATGAATTACATACTTTGCAACTGGCACAATTTCTTATATCAACGAATAATATATTTATTCTTTAAAAATATAATTATATAACATCATATATATATATTTTGCACCACCTTTAAACACTCTTGTTAAATTTGTAATTTAAAAATACAAAAATGATGTTTCTTTTTATTTTCCTTTTTCGCGTAGATTTACATTGTTAACAGATCGTTTCTAAAATGAATTAAAAACATTATTTAAGACAATTAAAAATTAAATTAAATTAAATTTTAAATATTTTGTCTTGTACATAATAATTATTAAATTATACTAAATCTTCTTTTTATTAATTTGCTGCTTTTATATATTTTACTTTTAAAATTAAAAATATTAAAAAGAAATTTTTGCCTCTTTTTGTATAAAAAAAAAACAGAACAAAAATGTAATGAGAAAAAAAAACTTTCGTTTTTAAATATTCCTTTTATTCTACACTAAATCTTATTTAAAATATTTTAGAGATAAGATTAGAAATCTATTAAAAAACAAATATTAACTTGCAATATTATGCAAATAAAATCTTTTTACATACCCACATAGAAAATATTGCAACTTTAATTCTTGACTTTGAATTAAAAAGAACATCACCTTATTAATATTGTGATAAAAATTTATCTTAATTTTTTTTTTAAAACAAATATTGTAGAAATAATTTCGTAGACGAATTATAAATATATTTGTTTTGAAAAAGCATTGAAGTACTATGATATTTTGTTCAACAGGAGGTTAAAAAAGAAATTATAAATTTGCTAACAAAACAAAATAGAAAAAATATTTACTCGAAAAACAAAAAAGTTACGACTTCTAAGAGAATTAATTAGAATAAGTACATTAATGTCAAATAACATTCATTTACAGATTTTTGTAAATTCACGGCTCCTTTCGATATTCGAAGTTCACCTTAATAATGTAGCTTTATTACATTTGACTTTACTTTTTATTTGACATGAACTGAATGTTATACGTTAAAAAATTTTTAAGCAATAAAGAATTATTTAAAGGGCCGCACAAACGATATGTTTCCCAACATAATTTTAAAACACATAAAGTAAAATTAGTTCCTATATTAATATTCTTAATAGTATTACTTTTACATGATTGGAATGGATTTCAATCACAGTGACACTCTATATAACAATAAAAATATATAAAAAATTTTGTCTCATTAACAGAGATTAAAGAGCTATAAGTTTATTCCGTAATACGTCAATATTCATTTAATTACATTAAGGCTACCGTTTTCTTAATACATACTTATAATTAAACTGTTAAATGCAACTAGAAATCTGTATAAAAATTTTACATATTAAGCCTTATTTATATATCTATTTAATCCTCAAATAATTAAATATTGTGATTACTCTTGGTAAATTATTTACAATATTAAAATATTTATTTTTAACGTTTCATCAAATACTATAAAAAAAAGTAAATACTATAGTTTAGATTAAAATATGAATTAAAACCTTTATAAATTAACTTAGAATTAAAGTTTCTAAGTTAGTAGTGTGTTGTTGGGTGTGAAAAAATGACACAATATGGAAATTTTAATTTCTTAAAGCAATCGCGGTTTTGTTTGTACAATTTAGGAGGTAATGGAAAAATTTCGTATATGTATATATTATGTATATTTTTCTACATATTTAGTTATAAGAAATTAAAATTTAGAATTTTATTACCTTAAATTCAACTAACATGGGATATGGTTACTTGATTTCAACTCCTTATTGTATTTTATGGGGAAAAAATAACTTGCGAATTTATTTTAAAATTATATTTTAGAAATAAAAATTTATAAAAAGAAATATTTAATAAAATCATTTATTTAAATATTCAACATATTGATCTGTGAAAAATTGTAAAATTCAATCTAAAGTTTGTAACATTTTATATACCAAAAATATTTCAAATTGGGGTTATTGAAATTCAAATTTCAATAACCCCAAATCCAAAATACTATCTGTAATCTAGAACACAAGTAATATTATTATACTGATATAGCATGTGGTATTATAAATTAAAATAAAGATTCATAATAAACTAGAAAATAATATATTTTAATTTAAAACATTATATTTTACGTGGATAGAAAATTCGAGTTTCTTCCGCAAATAACTAGAAACAACCAAAATATATTATGTATATACTTTTAAACTCATGCAAATCACTTATATATTTTTATACCTTCTTCTGCACAAACAAGGTGACTTTTAAAATTTCTGGAAAATCAAAAATTCTATTTCTATATTTTAAATTATTTCCGAAAAATCATTTTGTTCATTTTCAATACACAATTTTTTATATATCACTATTATCACTAGCCTTATTAGAGACATTATATAGCGATAGCAATATTGTTTTTATTAGCTGTAAACCAATATTTTGAATGTTAAAATTTGCGAGTATTTATTTTTGTGTTTTATTTATAATAATACATTTAATATATTTTTATGATCCGAATGAGGATTTAAATTAAGCCGAGTTGATTGAAAAAGAAGCACCATTACCAGTTTATCTACGATAGGATAAAATTTAGTAAAATATGTATATTGTATTAGTACTATTATATAAGAAAATTGAATGGAAATATAAAGCACTTTGAATTCAATTCAAGAGTAGTGAATCGGTTCACATAAAATAAATTATGGTTTTTAGGTTTTTCAAATATTATATTTTGAAAATGTTAAACAAAAATTTTAAAAAAAATGGTTCGGGTCAAAAGGGGTTAATAATTTTGTTTAATATGTAAATTTATCTTAAATATATTTTTATTATCTTCTAAGAATTCTCTTTCAAGTTGGAAAGTTGTGGAAAATTTAAAAGTGGACAGTCATTTAGTTATTTTTAAATATTTAACGAGAAACAATATTAATAGAATTCGGTATATTTTTTAAAAATATTGAAATTTAAAAAAAAAGACAATTTAAATTGAAATTAAATTCAAATTTAATTTTCCTTTGAAATTGTAAATGCAACAATTATAAATAGTTGATTCTTTTAATATAAAAATAATGAAAACACAATATTTTAAATATATTTTTTCAATGTATAATTTTATTATAACTTATGCTCAAATTATATAATTTCTTAAGTAAGACTTATATTTGTAAGTTAAAAATTACATTTTAATTTTTAGAATACTTTAAATATTTGTATATATACGTTTTTAAAATAAAATCTTAATAATTTTGTTGTTTCCTACATAATTTATATTCAATATACATTCCAATTATTAAATTGCTGGCTTTGTTTTATTTTTTGATAATTTATTTAGTTCAATTTGTGAGATCAATCAAACACTTTATCGAAATACATTTGCGGAAAACAAGCTTATGCACCATAGTTATTAAAAAGCAAATTTTGAAAAAAAATTATAAGTTTTGAAATTTAAAATGTAATATTTTTTCTGAATTTTCCTGTATAAGATAACTTATACGATATATATTAGAAATATGATATGATTCGTATAATAAATATATATACGATATATATTTATCATACGAATCATATAATGAATTTCATGGATAATTTCATTGAAATTATGTATGTTTCCCTTATTCACTTTTAAAGACCGATTAAATTTGGAAAATTTTAAATTACATTTGCTGATAAAAATTATTTTTTAAAAATTTATTTCCCAAGTGAATGACAATAACTCAAAAAATTATTTAAAAAAAAAGCCAGTTGTATTGAATGTATTTAAGTATATAAAAAATGTTAACTATAAGTACTCAAAAATTTTCTTTTTACAAAGTTCTAAAATAGTTATTATTAAAAATAGAAAACGATCTACAAACTTACGCTAAACAATATTAAAGCTAACTATTTATATAATATAGTGAAAATATAATATTTTTAATATTTATTATTAATTTTAATATCTGCTTGAAATTTATATATAAGAAATTTATTTGATATAACATCATAAAATATCTATGAAAAAAGTACACATTAAGAATACCTAGAAGCAATGCAACTTATTACAATATAAAAGCAAATATGTGAATATTTATTGAAAACATTAAAAAATAGGGACTTGTTAAAAATATAAAAATTAATTATATTTCTATTATTTACAAGAATATTTAATATGTTGGAGAATCATTTGAATTATTAAAAAAAAAATCAAATTTAGTATCAATTAAAACACAGTAATAATATTAGTACCAAGTTTAACTTTAAAGAAGATTTAAGGAAAATGTTTGTTTAAGTTGCACATTATTTTCTAAATGAGACGCATAATACTAATTTAGCTAAATGAGCCTATATACTTTTATACTGTTCCTTTATACAGATATATAGGATTATATACACATATATATTAGGATTGTTTGTAATAAAAAATTGTTTTGAAAATACTAAGGTAAGTGAAATAAATTCAGTAAATTTAAATATTTCCTCTTTGTTTGTTTTGTTTTTAAGATGAGGTACAACGACTTAGTTTTTTAGTACATATTATAAAGAGCTAACTATATGAGTTTATTTGTTTTATTTTTATCTAATTTCTATTTCAATTTTCAGTGGAAGATTCATATTCATTGCGATATTAGTCTTTATAGTCGAGTTACATTTATATCACCATTACTTGCATGTATTTCATCTTTATTTTTTTCATTCTTTTTGGAAGGTATACATGGGAAATCAAACATTCTTTCACCTTTTCCAAATTCTTCACCTTCTTCAACCGTCTTTGGTAAAGTTCTGAAATTGTATAATAAATAAAATAATAATTTTATATGAGCAAAGTGGCTATTAATATATTATGTAATACACTAGGACAAAAAGTTTCGTGCGAGATAAAAAGAAAGTGACAAAAAAATTGAGTCACGTAACACACGAACAGCCTATTATCCAAATTCATATTTTAATTTAAATTTATAACTACAAATATATTAATTTATTATACCTATGTAACGTTTCTGGTAAAAGTAAACATACAAAAGCTCCTAAAAAGAAAAGAACTCCCAATATAATTGATGGTAAAGCTTTAAAGTATGTTCCTAAATATAATATATATGGACTTAAAGCTGATGCCGCAAAGCCAGCAACGTGAACGGCTGCAACTCCTTGTCCACGAACACATGTTGGTATTAATTCAGTGGCATATTGAGCACCAGATTCGTATGATATGGCAACACCGAAACGTGATATAATTTGTAAAGTTACCAACAATGGTACATTATGATTTTTCTTTTGATAAGCAATTGTAACACCAGCAATTGCTGTAAATATTCCGCCTACAAGCAACGACGATGCTGCCATACCCTTCCGACCAATACGATCTTGTAAAAATATTAGAATAACACTGGCTGGCAGAACAGATAACGAACTTAACGAAAACATAGTGAATGGAGAAATTCCCATTCCTTCAATATTACGTGACACTGCATCGTAACATAATGTTATCACCATACTATTAAAATAAAAAAAAAAGTTTTTATTTAACAGAAATATTTAAAAGACAATACGGTACTTACGACTTAAAAAATAATATTGTGGTATGTTTGCGCATTCTTGGAGTTTTAAACATATCTAAAATCGTATCTTTATTCTGTTCCACAGTTTTTTGTTGAAGAGAACGTTGCTTTTCGCAATAACTACGAAATTCTTCAAAATCTTCCTCTGTTACAGTTTTCCCATTAAATTTAGCTACTTTTTTTAATCTATGTATGGCACCATCAACATCATTGCATGTTACTAACCACTGAGCACTTTCATTAATTACAAAATAAAATAAGGTAACTGAAAGTAAAGGAATTGATGTTGACGCTAAATAATATTTCCAATCTCCTAATGCCACCGCCAGCCATGGAGTAAATACCAATCCTAAACAATAAAATAAACCAGTGCCTAAATTTAAACCTAAGGTACGCATTGATGGTCGTATATATTCTAAAACTGAAGAGAAAATTAAATTATTTCCTAGAAATATTTGTGAAAGCTCAATAAATTTTACCTATTATATACATTAAATAAAAGTTTGTATCAGCAGCTAATCCAGATATAAAACGACATATGGAAAATGATATAACATCTCTGGTAAATATTGTTGAGAAATCACCAATGAATCCAGATAAATTTGATATAATTAATGCCGGTAATCTACCTATTCTATCCGAAAGAAGACCATATATTATGGTTCCTATGACAGAGCCAATGAAAAATAGCGATTGACCTATACGAGCTTTATATGCTGAATCACAGACCCAGTTCATCTAAAAAAAAATATGTTTAATAATTATGTAAAGACTTGTATTATTATACTTATTTATGTAAAACTTGAATATAACAAAAAATATATATACAAAGAACTTGTAATAATAAAAACACTAAACGGAATTATATAAATTTTAAATTCTTTTAAGAGTAACCGAAATGAATTAACGTAAAACAATGACAACAGACGTAATTAAAACTAAGAAACAAAATATTAATATTTTCAATTGAAAATAACAAAAATTTTCAATACAATTGTACATTGTAAGTATAAACAAATTTTTCGAAGAAAAACTAATAAAATTAATTTAACGTCAAAACTTGCACACCAATAAATTTATTGTTTTTAAACTCTTATAATATTGGTGTTTATATTAACAGAAGATAATTAATGATATACGAAACTAAAGACGTCAGCCACATTAAATTATTAATTGATATTTTATCATTTAAATAAGTTCAAAGTCTTATAATACTTTTATAAACAATACGTACGTGAATATATAGTTAAGATCGTAATATAAGAAACCTAAATCTGTTGTCAACTAAAATCAACATACCTCTGTATTCATACTTTTATATCCATAATCATAATTATATATCCAACGATCACAAGTTTTTTTGCTTATAACTACATGAGTTCGATTTAAATCATCAAACCTTATACAGGAAGGTTGATCAAAATTAGCGTATATACCCCGAATTTCATCAAATGTTTTATTTTCAAGTTTCTCGTGATAACACCTAAAATAAAAAATAAAAATATTTTTTCAATTTAAAACTAAAATTTTTTTCTAAACAAAACTTGTACGTAATAAATAATCACAAAAAAAAAAGAAAAAATTCATTTAAATTAACAATGTTATTATTCAATATTATTTAAAATAAAACAACAAAATTATTCATTAACTAAGTTTAATCCAAGTCAGATTGAACTAGTTACTTTTTCATTAAAAATTTTAAGAATTAATGTGAATTATACGAGTATTGTTGTTTTTTACAAACTTAATTAAGTACAGCTATGATATTAGACGACATTGTTTTTAGTCCATTGGCTACATTGATTTTAAATATTTATTATATTAACTGTTGCTACCTTTTTATAATGTAACTTTGATATAAAATACTGTTAGAACTTATTAATTATATAACTGGCATATTTATAACATAATTTATACACCCTAGAAATATTTAAACTCATACATCTTAAAAATTTTTAAATATTTTTAAAAAAATTGTATTTTTCATGTATACTTATATATCTATGTATATTTAAGAAAGCTTGGATAATGCAAAGAAGGAGAACCAAAACTTCATCATTTATCAAAAAGAGTAATTAACTTATTGTAGACGGAGTAAATATTTTATAGAACAGTGAAGATAATATAATCTTATCGCAAAAATCGTGTTTTATTAATCGTGGAAGATACAAAATTTTTATCAAACAAAATACAATTATTAAACAATTACCCTACCATTACAATTAATAAGTTTTACTTCAATATGTTTTAACAAATTTTTCCAAATTTCAGCAATTTTCCATATTACATTATATACCATTAAAAATATTCATATTAAAATTTTTAATTTTAAATAAGTTATTATCTAATAGTCTAAGAACAATATATTGAATAATCGAACTAATAATAGAAACTCATTCATACTTAAATATAAAAGTATTAAAACTTTGATATTTTCTTTAAGCGCATCTAGATGTGTAAATTGTTCTATTCTAATACACAACATCCAATACACTTAATTTGATTTGAATCAATTAACATTCATTACTAAAACAAAATGAAGAATATCCATAGTAAATAGTATACGAGTATAAATTATTTTAATTGTGCATGTGTTTATCAATTAATTATTGATTAAATGAAAAATTATAATTCTTAAGTCAAATGTTTTATTTTTTATTGTTTTTTTGGTCCTTTTATTTCGTAAATGAATCAGAATTCGTTTTCGTCTTTAACATATAAGTACTAATTGTATTTAGTAGAAAATTGTAAAAAAAATATTTTATACGGAAATCTATAGTGGATTTTCCAAATTATTTTGGGTAATTAAAAATAATTTAGAACACATACTTAGGTGTGTGTACAAAATTCATGAGAATTTAAGAAATTTGATTGATTACCACCAAGAATATATAGTTTATAAAAGCAAAAATTGTTGATTTTCAAAGATGCGTTAATTATTCGTGTGACAACATTATATCGAATTTGATTATATTAATTATAATTATAAAGAAAATGTGACTCATTATTAAAAGAAAGCTAAAATTATTTTTGAATGCATAATATATTGTTAATACGACGTACGTCATATCTGAACTACGAGTATGCAGGATATAATACGAGTTAATTTAAGACACGTACTGAATTTTCTGAAAAATTTAGAAAATTATACAAGTTATGCTCACAGTTTATATTATATCAATATTTGCATCTTTTGTTTTAAAAATTTTTTTAAATTTTATAATGAATTTTATACTGATAATTTAAATGAATTGCTTTAAAGTATAAGCATATCTATATATATATATATATATATTCAATTATTTATATGACGTGCATATATTATATACTAATTATTTACTTACCAATGTTCTGGAACAAAACTAATTATTGTCTGTGTAAAATAATGCATTGATACTAATAAATTAATTAGGCCGTATAATCCTAATAATAAAAATTGATAACGATGAAAATCACCACATTTTTCTAGAATTCTATCAAAATCCATTGCTGTCAATCTGTTCTTTAATTTGCTTTATATTTATATGTGTGTAAATACACTCAAATAATTTTGATTTCTTAAATATTTTGAAATTAATTTTCTCTTTCTTACTTTACTCCTTTGTCATTTACATATGTGGAGCTAAAATTATAAATAAAAAGAAATTTAATATATATATATATATATTGTTATAAAAAATATACACATATAATAGTATTAAAATATTAAAGGAAATCAAAATAAACACTTACATTTTTATAATATTTTTTTTTACTTAAGCCAAATCGAAAGCATTTAGTTAAGACCATTAAAAACTCATATATAAAATACATATTTAAAGCTAAAACCACACGTGCAATATTATACACTAAACAACAATATACATAATATTACATACATACATATTAGGTATAGTTTATTCTACACATTATATGTATGTAGGCACATACTAAATATCAAATTAGTTACTTGTACCTAAAACTTAAAAAATATTTGTATATGAAAACAAAAAAAAGCACAAAGTACGAACAAACTTATATTATATAGTAAATAGACTTAAATATTAATTACATACACATAATATATAATTATATATATGTATGATCATACTATTTTTGTTAGTACTCCTTTTTCACATAATTTCTACTACATTTTTTTTTATAAATTTTATTAATACTTTACTTCTAATTTAACGAAAATATGAACTCTAATAAATTTTTATTTAATTAAATATGCATTAAATATGCTGTACGGGGTTACAAAAAGGACGGATACAAAAAGTGAGGATAACGTTTACGGCAAAATAATAAAACTAAGTTATTAAAGGTCACCTATTTTGAAACGAAATTGCGGTTTCAATTTTTTACATTAAATAAAAAGTTAAAATACAACTACAATATATCAATATGCTTTTATTTAAGAGTTCAACAATTTATTGAAAAAAATTTACATACATACATACATAAAATTACTATGAACAAAACGAAGAGATTTTAACATTAAAATCATATATAATGTAATATTAGTTTAACCTAAAGTTTAGCCCTTGAAAAACATTATTAGCTCTTGTGGAAAGATAGATTATCAAATTTCGAATAGCATTTATTTATCGGAAATCGAGCACTACAATTTTATTTTGAAGTTTATATACATATATACATATGGACATCAAATATATTGTTAGCAGCTAACAAAATCAATTTTACACAAACAAAATTTTTCTCAATCCTGACATTTAACTAGAAAGAATGCCTCTAAAATATGAAAGTATTCTTAATTATAAATTGAAAATATTATAATTATAATGTTAAATACTCTTAAATAGTATATATAATTTAGTTCAATATTCTACTTTTGCCAATTTTAATTCATTATACAATTTCCATTCATTACTTTTTCTAGAAATAAATATTACCAAAATATCAAAGTTAGTCTGGTTTAAAAAAAAATAAGGAAAATAAATAAATCAATTTTATTATTTGCTTACGAAATATACATTAAATATTTACTCAAATGTCACACTTCTTAAGCGTACATAATTTACCTGCACATGTTTCTACAAATATGTATATCTACACAAACATACATAATTATGCTAGTCTACTATGGTCTATCATAATAGGTATACAATTTATAAAAAATTATTAAAATTAAAACTAAATAATATTAAAATATTTAATAAAATCAGTGCAGTTCTGGAATGAGTAATAAAATTTACTGGAGGAGAAAGTCAAGTTTAAGTGTTAATTTTTAAAATTATAAAATTATCATGATTTTTTAAACCTACACATACATACATACTTAATTCTTATACTACGATACAAACTTATAGCTGATACATAATTTTTCTAGAAATAAAAAGTAACTATACATATGTACGAGTATACGAGTATACAGAAACGACTAATAAGTGCTAATTATAATGGTAATGGAATTGACCGATAAAAAGTACAGCTCTTAATGTTAAAAATAAGAAAATAATATGCTACATATTTTTTCCTTTCATAAACATTTAACACATTTAGAAATTGCTATTTTTGCGTTTTAAATTTTGTTTATATTATACAACTACGTTATTACCGACCGTATTGTGTAAACAATAGGTAGGTTATGTGATGGCAACAAATTTTGCATATCGAGTTTTCGGTGGGAACGTACTTCTCCATAGTAGGGAAGTGTAAATAAACTATTTTTAGCAACCTGTCGGTCTGTCGGTCTGTCGGTCTGTCGGTCTGTCCGTCTGTCGGTCTGTGTGTGCACGCGTGTATCTCAAGTTTGGCTGAACCGATTTTGATGAAATTTTATATGTAAGTTTGTTTCCACCATGGCACGGATCGATCAACTTTTGGTATATATCAGGCCTCGGGAACTGCACTTTTTAGCGGGCCTGTTTTAAATTTTTGAACATTTTGAAGAAAATATTCAACCGATTTACTTGAAATTTTATATATAAGCTCAGCTCGACCGTCCGCAAAAATTCGTATGTTTTGGAAGAAATCAGGCATCGGCAACTAGACGTTTACTACGGGCCAAATATACATTTTTGTGTATATAAAGAGAAATAATCAACCAATTTCATTGAAATTTAATATATGAACTCCTTGTATTAAAATAATGAACATATAAATTTTTTGGAAAGATCAGGGCTCGAAAACGGATTTGCGGGCCGATTTTACATATTTCACCATTTTGAAGAAAGTATTCAACAGATTTACTTGAAATTTCATATATAAGCTTTGCTCGATCATACGCAAAAATTCCTAATTTTTGGAAGAAATCAGGCATCAGCAACTGGGCGTTTACTACGGGCCAAATATACATTTTTGTGTATATAAAGAGAAATAATCAACCGATTTCATTGAAATTTAATATATGAATTCCCCGTATTAAAACAATGAACATGTAAATTTTTTGGAAAGATCAGGCATCGGCAACTAGACGTTTACTACGGGCCAAACATACACTTTTGTGTGTCTAAAGAGAAATAATCAACCAATTTTATTGAAATTTAATATATGAATTCCTCATATTAAAGCAATGAACATATAACTTTTTTGGAAAGATCAGGACTCGAGAACTGATTTGCGGGCCGATTTTACATTTTTCACCATATCCACAGAACAAATTGATGGAATTTCTTGAAATTTGATATTTGAGTTCTGGTTGTTACCGAAACTTACTGGCGAGCATTTCAGGGAATTCGGGTAGCACAAAGCGAAACTCTAATAAGAGCCAAATTTACATTTTTCTAAGTATGTTAACTATAAGCTTACTAATGTCCTAAAAATTGGAAAGAAGTATTTAACAGACAATTTTATAATATTCTGTAACACTTTCATTTAACTAGATATTACACAATGCGGTCGGTTATGTGCTGACCACATCAGATTTTTTTATATTGTGACTAGGAAATTCCCTTTTAAGAAATTGTTCTTTTTTAAGAAAATATAGCAATTGAATAAGTCGGAATTCCATATTTTATAAAATTGATTGCATTTTGTATTTAATCTGGAAATCTGGGTTAAGATTAACACTATTCCTACCGGAACCAGTCAAATGAGCGTTTTTAGATTTTCAACTGGAATTTCCTACATTCAACGTAAACGAATCGCCTTTAAACTTTATGACTTTTCGTCATATATAATATGTATGATAAATTTTTCAATATTCACTTATTTTTTAAAGTTTATTTTCTGAGAAAAATTTGTATAGTCTGCCTTACGTACCACGACCGATCTTTAGACGGGTGGTACGATTTATATATTTTAAAACTATAAATTCAGGAGATAATCAAAGAAAATCAACCAATACCCACCGCAACTTCAAATACAGGTTCACTTCATCGGAAAACATGTCAGATAAGATATTGAAAAGACGAAAAAGAATAAAATGTAGTTTATGTATTTTTGAATAAAAGAATATATATTTTTATGCTAGTAAACTGGCTATTGGTCTGCATTCAATATTGAAAAATATAAGTTGTGAAAGACCGGTAATTTGACCGGTCACGGTAGGAATAGGTATACGTGAAATATCGGTAGGAATAGTGTTAATAACAAATTTCTAAGCAAAAGTTAAAAATAAACGATAAAATTGTTTCAGTCGGTATGTACCGACTTGATAAATTTGTTTTGGAAATATTTAGAATTAGCTGTTGGAGTTGCATGATAGCTACCCTGTTAAACAATTCCACCGAAACTTCAGGAATATATCTAACCTGTAATTGGGCACATGAGTTTGACTTTAATTTTTTTCCAAATATTCAAAATTAGTTGTTGCAGTTGAATGACAGTTACCCAAACCAGTGCATCCATTCCATTAAAATTTTCAGAGTGTATGCAGAATGTAATTAAACATAACCTTATAAAATTTGATGTTGGTATCTCTATTAATCTTTGAAATAACCTTTTTGAGTTGTATGGCAGTAACCCGAACTTGTTGTTGGAATTGGTCCAATTACAATAGCAGCCCTCATTGGCAAAAAAGGGACACCTTGTGAAAGTTTGGTGTCGATAGACGGACGGACATGTCTAAATCAACCCAGAATTTTACGCTGAGCAAGAATATATATATAAATGCTCATACCGTATCTTCCATATAAAAGTTCATATCTGCCATATCAAAGTTAATGTACCCTTCGCGAAGATGCAGGGTATAACAAAACTATCATCGTAGGTTAACTGTGTAAGTATATTCTATTCTACAAAAGTAAATATTGGTTGTATTAACGCTCTAATCGATAAACTAAACAAAATTAAATAAAGAGTGCAGATCGGGTGGTTAAGAAATTAATATATACTCGTTTTACAAAATATACATTAAAACGAGAAATTAACATTTTAAGAATATAACGAACAAATTGCCGCCTTTAGTTAGGTTTTGTTATATTCTACAATACTAACTACATATTTAAACCACCGCTAATATTATCAACTACATAATATTGCAAAAGCAAAATAATAGATAAAATTTCATCATTGTACAGAACCTTACATAAAATCTTTTATTTTACTACACCGGCATTTATCTCATTGAATTTAATAAACAATATAAAAAACAAACTTTGTTATAATTCAAAATTGATTATTTTAATTTTAATATACATATATATACATACATATACACAAACATTATTACTCGTA